GTGTATCAAGCTTCGATTTTGTGTGTAGCATGCGGTGTTGATTGCTTCAGCCCAATATCTTTTAGGTAGCTCGGCTGGCATAATCAGCACACGTGCGGCTTCTTTTAGCGTTCTATTTCTTCTTTCGGCTACACCATTTTGTTGTGGTGTACGTGCGGCAGATAATTGATGTAGAATTCCTTGAGAATTGTAGTAGGCTTGAATTACTTGATTCACGAACTCAGTTCCACGATCAGTTCGGATTTTTGCAATTTTCAAGTCTTTCTCGTTTTGTATTAGCTTAAGTAGTTCTGGCAACTTTTGCTCCACTTCATTTTTCTTCTTGAGAAATATCGTCCATGTGTACCTGGAAAAATCATCAACAACAACTAGTGTATATTTCTTACCACTTAGACTTACTGGGTCTACTGGACCGAATAGATCCATGTGTAGTAGACTTAGCGGTCTTGTTGTAGATTCTTGAGCTTTGGCTTTGAATGATGACTTGATTTACTTTCCTCTTTGGCAAGCATCACATATTTGATCTTTCATGTAAACAATGTCGGGTAGACCTTCAACGAGTTTGTTTCTTGCTAGCTTGTTGATGATGGTCTTGAAGTTTAGATGATTCAACTTTCTGTGTCATTCCCAACTTGTTGCGTGTGAGTTGTTTGCTAGTAGACATACTGATTCTTTTGTCGTGTTCCAATCAACCACATACATATTTTTCTTCCTTTTTCCTTCGAGCACAACTTCTCCCGAGGAATCATTCTTCGCTTGACATTTGTCTTTGAAGAGTTCTACTAGGTATCCTTTGTCACAAAATTGACTTGTGCTTAACAAGTTGAATTTTTGACCTTCAACAAAGGATACATCTTCAATTTTTAAGCCATTGCGAGATATTGTACCAATTCCTTTGGTTATGCCGTATCATTCATTTCCACCGAATACGACTTTTGGTCCTTCGATATTTTTGAAATTTACAAGACTAGATTTATTTCCGGTCATGTGTCTAGAACATCCACTATCGAAGTACCAAATTTCCTGCAAATAAATTACACATTTTTAGGTACCCAACATGATTTGGGTCCTTGGGTGTTAGTCATTTTTGGTACCCAAATCCACCTTGTACTCACTGATCTAAGTTTATGTGATTGGTAACCATTAAACACATTATAATCATAACTAATTTTTGAAAACATTTTTGGTGCCGGTTTTTTAAAATTGACTCGATTTTTTGGTACTTGGGAAGAAGATTCTTTGAGCCTATGATAGGCATTAAATCTGGACTTAGTCCATGGTTTAATATTATCAAACCAATCTTGTTCAGAGGGATAAAATCTCCCTGCCCCAATTCTCGGATTTCTTCCCATTTTCCTATGAGGGCTTTGTGCACTAGACTCATTGGTGTGTTTCCATTTAGGAACAAACTTTTGCCTTTTTATATACTGCTTAGGCGAAATATTATTTCTTTGAGGCTTCGGCCTTGCAGCATTAAATTTGGCATTGGTTTGGTAACCAATTCCTTGTCTCATTGTGTTGTCTTGACTTTTTACAAAATTTACCACTTGGACTTTATTAGTTAAAGCAGTAGTAGAATTGGTCAATTTTTCAGAGGCTTGAGAACATGAAGGATCATAGCCAAGTCCGATTTTATCACTTCAGGATTTTTGCATATTTACCATTTTGTCCATGGCTTCGAATTCTTTGTTGCATTCCATGGTTTTCCTTGTGGATTTTTCTTGTAGTTGCTCCTCTTCATGAATTTCCTAAATTTCTTGACAAAGAGAACAAATTGATCATTAGGCAATAATTTATTATTTTGTACTGACCTTGAAGTAGACGGTTGCTCGGTTATGAGTGCGTTGTTCTTTTCTTCATGATCTTCCTCGATCCTTGATTTCATCTCGAACTCATAAGCTTTTAGGTCACTAAAAAGCTTATCGGTTGATAGGGCTTTTAGATCTCTATGATCTCTCATGGTCGTGACCTTCATGTCCCATGTAGATGGTAGACCACGTAGGATTTTGAGTGAGATTTCCTTTTGATTAATGTCTTTTCCAAGATCATTAATTTCTCCTAAGATTTTAGCAAATCTTGTTTCCATGTTGGTAATATTCTCGCTGTTTAGCATTTTGAAATCTTCGAATTTCTTTAATGCTATGGTGAGCTTATTATCCTTTTCTTGCTCGTCTCCTTCACCAATTTGAATGAGCGTTTCCCAAACTTCTTTTGCGGATTGGCATTTTCAAATTTTTAGAAATATCGTGTCATCGATAGATTTAAACAAAATATCCTTGGCAATATTGTCCAAGTTATTTCTAGTTCTATCTTCACGAGACCATTCCACCTTTGGTTTTGGAATGTATTGCGGAGTCTCACTTGTTTGTACGGATGAAGTGTTGACTTGAAAAATTTCAATAGGACCACTAGTGATAACTTCCCACATTTCATCGTGTAATGCGGATAAGTGTACCTGCATGCGAATTTTCCAATCATCAAATTTTTCTAAGGAAAACAATAGGTTTTGGGCAAGAGCCATATCTCTTTTCATCATCTTGATTTTTCGAGATCTGTCTAGCAGTCAAATTGACTCAGATAGACAACCACTCTGATACCAATTGTTAGTCCCGATAGGGTAGTAGAAAGTCTAGAGGGAGGGGGGGGGGGGGGGTGAATAGACTTTCCAAGCTTTTTCAAAATTAAATAACTCTTTGGTAACTTCAACTCTAAGTAACAAGTAAATAGAGAAGTGTTCAACTTGAACTGCACAGCGGAATAAATAAGTGTAAAGAGTTATGCCCAATTAATAAATTGAATCACATGCACGTGTAGGATAAGCTCAGATCATGTATAAGGATGACATGAATATCTTGAATATTTAAAGGAGATTGTGCACTCAATATTTAACAATAATATTCAAGATTATAAATGATATTTCGTGTCACGTCAACCGTATGATAAATGTCACATGCAACACGTCAAACTTGCTTAGAATAATTCAAATGTTAAGCATGGAAAGTTTGAGTTACATGCATACGTGAAAACACACTAAACCCGAAAGATTAAGATAGACAGTGAATAGTAAACGGGTTAGTCAGATGATAAATAAATAAAGCGAATTATGTAACTGCGGTATGTAAATGAGAGAGGCAATTTATAGTGGTTCGGAAGTGGCCTAATCTTCCTAGTCCACTTTACTCCATTCACGTCTAGGAGTAATTCACTATTTTCCACACACAGTTACAATAGTGAATAAGTGCTACACAAGCACTTCTTCCGGATGTCTTGCACACAGCTACACCCAACTCCGAGTGTCTCGCACACAGCTACACTCAACTCCGAGTATTTTGCACACAGCTATACTCAACGCCAACTAAGTGTTTTGCACACAGCTACACTTAGCAACTACGAGTGTTTTGCACACAGCTACACTTAGCAACTACGAGTGTTTTGCACACAGCTACACTCACTAGAGTATTTATTTTCAAGTTGTTTCTAAAATATTATTTTCCTTGTGTATTTTGAAGTTCCAACGTCTCTTTGCAGTAAGTTCTTCTGATAGAATTTATTTCTAGGATAAGATTTTTATCCATGCCTTCATAAATTTTTCCACCGTTCTGATCATATCTTTAGGCAATTTGGACTTTTGTGACATGTGAGATGTACCAACATAAATTCTTTCGAATTTATCTAATTTCTGATCATATTGCTTCTTTGTCACATCTTGCTCCTTTGGGATGCATTGTTCTTTTAAAAGTCTGATATTGCTTTGTTTGACTTGGCACTTCTTGCTTCTTTGACTTGCTACATCGTGCTTTTCTGAATTGGCCATATTGTGCTCTTTTCGCTTCTTGCTTCTTTGACTTCAACACATTGTGCTTGTTTGACTGACTTCAACACATTGTGCTTGTTCGACTTGAGGGATTGTGCTTCTTTTTGAGACATTGTGCTTCTTTCTGAATTCCGGCTTATAAAAAATAAGCCGTCTTTGGGGGGGACTTAATCTTTGGTGTGATCATTATATGTAAGGACTTCTACCATTTCACCGTTAGGCTCATCCGGTTTTTTTTTGCAACACCATTGTTTAGTACTTCTGCTCCAGATGAATTCTTGTAGGACCAAAATTAATTCTCCAAATTAATTTTGTTATTCATGTGGTAGACTTTCCTTTGCATACTCACTTTGACATTTTGAATTATGATGCTTGTATTAAAGACCTAAATTCTAAGGGGATCTAAAGTACATTTCGCTCATCAAAACTTTATTACAAAAATATTCCTATCACCTTCTTTATTGAGTCGCTTCGGTCTGGCCAGCTATATCGAGACCTGCGGGACAACCAGCCGGCTACCTATGCGGAGGCCATTCACATGGCCAACAAGCGAGCCAATACAGAGTAAGCAATGAAGTACAAACGACAACGTGAGGTCGGAGGAGCCTCCGGCGGAAAGCGAACTAGAGCAGAGGTAAAAGAAAGACGTCCAGACCCATCCAGGCGACAAGAGACTCGACGTGTGTACGACAGAGCTAGTGTTCAGCCTTATCGACCGACCCCACAATATCGAGTACATGAAGTACAGGCGGTTGCGCCGCCTCCGCCTCCTCCGCCCGAGGAGTATGCGGCAAATGTAGATCCGGGTAAGACATCCAAGTATTATCGTTATCATAAGTCATACACTCACAACACGGAAGAGTGTTATTATCTGAAAAAGATCATGGAAGGAATCATTCAGCAAGGGACGCCATCTCCCAACCAATGGCGAAGGAGATCCACGTCTCACACCAAGGAAGACGGTGACCCTTCGGAAGCAACCGAGGTGAACCACGACAAGCAGCCGATGACTGAAGAGGGCGAGGCCCAGTGGAGACAAAAGCCGATCATCAACATAATAGTCGGTGGACCTGAAGGAAGCGATTCCGCCAATACTGGGAAAGCCTGGGCTCGGTAACTGTACGTGGGGACCATATACGGGCGTGAAGGCGGCTCGAAGAAAGCGTGCCGAGAACCTATTGTCTTCATGGATAAGGATTTGTCGACTGGAGAGATGCCACACTACGACGCCCTAGTCATCGCGATGGATGTAAACAGGGTGGTCGTTCGACGGACATTGGTAGACACCGGGAGTAGCGTCAATGTCCTGCATCTCGAAACCTTCACCAAGATGGGTATGGCACGAGAGCAGTTGGCCCCAGTAAAGACACCACTGACCGGCTTTACGGGAGACTCCGTAGAAGCCGAAGAGTCCATCACTCTGCTAGTCGAGGTTGGCAGTTACCCCAGCGTACAGAAATTAGATATGAAATTCATCGTGGTTGACCTGACGTGTTCTCACAACGCAATCCTCGGCCGACCAGGTTTGGAGGACTTAGGGGCGCTGATCTCCATCGAACACCTATGTATGAAATTTTGCACACCGAGTGGGGTGGGCACGGTACGTTGCGATCGAAAGGTCGCCCGCCATTGCTATCTACAAGCCTGTCGAGGCATGGGCAAGCGAGAGATGCGAGTACACGAGATCACAGAGCGGCCCACGAAGAAGGCGATGCCGCCTTGCCCCGAGCCGGCCCTGGAACTGGAGGAAGTGGAGATCGATCTAGCTCGACTGGAGAGGCGGGTAAGAATTGGAGTCGGCTTGAAAAGGGATGTGCGGGAGGAGGTCATACGAGTGCTCCGAGAAAATCGTCTGGTTTTCTCTTGGGGACCCGAAGACATGTCTGGAGTGGACCGATCCATAATCTCCCATCGACTCGCGGTTGATCCCGGCTACCGGCCCATGATCGAAGAGAATTTTTCAAAAAGGAAAAAAATACGTTGCTGGCTGCCGGCCATATCTGAGAGGTCAAGTATCCGGAATGGTTGGCCAACGTGGTGCTCGTACCGAAACCACCGGCCTGGAGGATGTGTGTAGACTACACCGATCTTAATAAGGCCTGCCCAAAGGACCCTTTTCCTTTGCCCAGGATCGACCAGTTAGTCGACGAAACCGCAGGGTCGGCGTTGTTGAGCTTCATAGATGCCTTCCGAGGTTACCACCAGATTTATATGCACAAGGCTGACGAAGAGAAAACAACCTTCCTTACCTCGGATGGCGTATACTGCTATCAAGTCATGCCGTTCGGACTCAAGAATGCAGGGGCCACATACACTCGGATGGTTGCTTGGCTGTTCCAGGACCTGCTAGGAAAGTCCATGGCAACCTACGTGGACGACATGCTAGTGAAAAGTCGAGATGAATCAGGACATGCTGGAGATCTAGCTGACTGCTTCCAGGTAATGCTCAAATGCAATCTGCGACTCAATCCCAAAAAGTGCGCCTTCGCCGTGCAAGGGGGAAAATTCCTGGGGTACATGGTAACCAAAAGGGGTATTGAGCCGAATCCCGAAAAGGTCCAGGCCGTAATGGACATGTAGCCCCCCAGCACCGTCAAAGACCTGCAAAGGTTGACTGGCCGATTGGCCGCCCTGAGCCGCTTCCTAAGTAAGTTGGCGGACAAGACTGTGCCGTTCTTCGAGGCCATGAAGAATAAAGAAGGCTTCGCGTGGACGGCCAAGTGCCAGCACTCCTTTGAGGAATTGAAAGATACCTCTCCAGGTCGGCGAGCCTCTATATCTGTACTTGGCGGTGGCGCCCAAGGCTGTGAGTTCAGTGCTCGTCCGCGAATAAGAGCGTACCCAGCACCCGGTTTATTATGTTAGCCATTCCCTAAAATCGGCTGAGACTCGATACACGTCTCTGGAGAAAGTGGTATATGCTTTGGTGATTATAGTGCGAAAGCTGGCACCTTATTTCCAAGCGCATACTGTCCGGGTCCTGACGGACCAACCTCTGGGAAGCGTGTTATGTAATCCCACGTCGTCCGGGCGACTCGTCAAATGGGCGATAGAGTTGACCAAATACGGGATTGAGTATCAACCCCGCCCTTCGATCAAGGGGCAAGCATTGGCCGACTTCTTAGTCGAGTGCACATCGGGAGAAGACGACAAGACCCCAACCTCGGAAGAAAGCCCAGGCGAGTGGTGGGAGATGCATGCTGACGGAGCAGCAAGCCGCCAGCATTGCGGCAGCAGAGTCATGCTGATCACACCAGAAGGGTTTCGACTCTACTATGCTCTAAGTTACCTATTTCAGACATCCAATAATGAGGCAGAATACGACGCAGGGCTGGGAGGTCTACGGCTCGCTAAAACTTTGGGAGTAGATCGCTTACGAATCAAGACGGACTCGCGCCCCGTAGTAGGGTAAGTGTCCGAGACCTGCGAGGCTAAAAGCACCCGGATGGCACAATACAAGGAAAAGACTGCGCAACTATTGAAGGGGTTTGTCGCCCATGAGATAGAGTACATCTCCCGGGCCAATAACACCGAGGTTGACATCGTGTCGAAAATCGCCTTGGAGGGGGTGCCGGATCATCTTTTAAGGATTTGTCAGAAAGAAGAATTGCTTCGACCTAGCATCGAAGAAACGACGACCGAGGTTCAACTGGTGACGACCTCGGAATGGGACCTTGACGAGAACCCGGAGATGTTTTGGATAGAAGATATTCAGCGTTACAAGGAAGACGGAAAGCTGCCAGTCGACCCCGTGGTCGCTGCTCGAGTTCGCCGCAAGGCTCCTTCATTCGAAATCATAGATGGACAGCTGTATAAACGGTCGTTTGGGGGACCTCTCCATAAATGTCTATTCAGAACAGAGGCGGAAAAGATAATGGACGAGGCTCACCGCGGAATATGTGCGGCCCACCAGGGTGCACACACTCTCGCCCGGAAGCTAGTCGTCCAAGGCTATTATTGGCCTGCCATAATGAGAGATTGCATTGAGTGGATAGCCAAGTGTATATTATGCCAAGCATTCGCTCGGAAGGACACCCGGCCAGCCAACTTTTACACACCGGTCACCACGGCCATTCCGTTCGCAAAATGGGGAGTCGACCTACTGGGCCCTCTACTGGTCGCCCCGGGACGCCTAAAATTTTGTGTGGTGGTTATTGACTACTTCACTAAATGGATCGAGGCGGAGCCCTTGGCGACCATCACTAAGTATCAATGCCGACATTTTTTTGTGGAAGAAAGTGATCTGTCGCTTCGGATTACCCGAGCACATAGTCAGCGACAACGGCCGTCAGTTCGACTGCCGAACCTTCGCGTATTTCTGCCAGCGGCATAGCATACGGCACACTAAGGTGTCGGTCGCCTACCCCTAGGCTAATGGACAGGTTGAAAATGCAAACCGTACGATCGTGGACGGTATCCGAAAGAAGTTAGAAGACGTTGGAGGAAATTGGGCCGATGAGCTAGACCGAGTCTTGTGGGCATATCGAACTACTCAAAGACGAGCGACTGGTGAAAGTCCGTTCTCCTTAGCGTACGGCTTCGAAGCCAAAGTACCCATAGAGGTTGTTGAGCCCACCCATAGGGTTTGCCACTATTCGGATGAAGGAAATGAAGAAAGCCTCAGGATTGAGATGAATTTCTTGGAGGAACGAAGGGAAGCCGCGCATGCTCACATGGTGGAATATCAGCAGGCTGTCAAGAGGTACCGGGATAAGCTAATTCATCCGCGACCTTTCCAAGGAGGAGACCTTGTGCTGCGCGACCGACAGGCTAGCCGACCCACAGAAGGAGGGAAGTTTGCAGTCAAATGGGAAGGACCCTACCGTATAGCCGCTGTGGTCCAAGCTGGCACTTACAAATTGGAAACCTTAGAAGGAGAGCCCATTGATCGGATCTGGAATGTAATCTACTTAAAGAAGTACTACCAGTAAAAGGTCAGCCCCGTATATTTATTTAAACCCAACTTTGAATAAAATGCCTATCGCATTTTGTATCCTGGAAACTGTTACTGAGATAGAAAAAGCCTAAATGGTCGCCTCGAATGAGGGACTCGGTAAGAAGAGAAGGAAACAAGGGCACTGACCCTTAGACGTTTCTGAGAAAAAGCCTACAGGAGTCGCCTCGACTGAGGGACTCGGCGATAAAAGAGAGAAACGACGGGGCACTGACCCTAAACTGTTTCTGAGATAGAAAAAGCCTAAAGGGTCGCCTCGACTGAGGGACTCGGCAAGAAGAAAAGGAAACAAGGGCACTGACCCTTAGACGTTTCTGAGAAAAAGCCTACAGGAGTCGCCTCGACGAGAAAAGAGAGAAACGAACGGGGCACTGACCCTAAACTATTTCTGAGATAGAAAAAGCCTAACGGGTCGCCTCGACCGAGGGACTCGGCAGGAAGAGAAGGAAACAAGGGCACTGACCTTAGACGTTTCTGAGAAAAAGGCTACAAGAGTCGCCTCGATTGAGGGACTCGGCGAGAAAAGAGAGAAACGACGGGGCACTGACCCTAAACTATTTCTGAGATAGAAAAAGCCTAAAGGGTCGCCTTGACCGAGGGACTCGGCAAGAAGAGAAGGAAACAAGGGCATTGACGCTTAGACGTTTTCAAGTTTACCGGGAGTCACCGCGACTAAGGGACTCGGCGAGAAGAGCCCCAAGGCTTGGAAGATAAAAAGATTGCCCAAATTGAAAAGGAGATGCGAAATATAGAAAAACGCAAAAGAGATGTTTTTTTCATTCATAAGGGTCCAAAGGGAGGACCGACCCTTACAAAAAGATGAAATCTTAAGAGCCTAAGCTACAGGGGGAGGTACTGCGGTTTCAACTTCCTCAACCTATTCCTCTGCCGATGGTCTAGCGGGAGGAACGGGTGAAGGTTCTTCTGCTTGTGGAGGTGAATCAGTCGGCACAGACAAATCCGCCGCCGGCAAGACTGGAGGAGAGGGAGAGACAGTTGCGATAGCAGCCCCGCGTGTTGGCAACGGCTCGAGCACCGGCTTGAGGCCCCAACCCCCAGGACTAAAAGAAGGATCGCGGACCAGCAGAAGAGCGTACATCTCCAACTGCGCTTAACGGTAACCCAGGCGGAAGTCTCCTTCGCCGAGATCAAGCAGGTAGTCGTCGCCCTCCGAGGTCGCCAACCATTCTTTCACCAACTCCTCTTTGTGACAAGCTATCGCCGACTTCAAGTCCGCCTCGAAGGATGATGCCGACCCCTTATACTCAGTGACTGCAGCGGCGGCCTTGTCCCGTTCCTCCTCCCATTGGCGAGTCACCCTCAGGAGTTCGGTCGTATGAATCTCCCTCGCCTTGGCGAAAGCTGCGTGCTCCTCCTGGCGGGCTTCCTCCGATTAGCGCAGTCGAACGTTGAGGCTTTGTATCCCAGTCTTGAGGGCCCGCATCCGCTTCCTCATCTCCAGTTGAAGGGCGATGTTCTGGAAAAAGAGTTACGTTAGAAGACAAAAGAAGAAGGAGAAAATCAAGAGTAAGAAAGTCAAAGGCTCACCCGGTAAGATTGGCGCAGTGAAGCCTCCAATACGTACTCGTCCTGCATCTTGTTTGCCGCCTCCAAGTCCTTCGGGAGGAGCACATGCTCGACCCAATTCTGGACCGAGTAATCGCCCTGCCATATCTGGGCGTCCTTGTTGACCTCTAGGCTTATTCGGATCTTCTTGGGCGGAGGCACGTCCGGTTGTTCCAGGGGACGTTTTGAGCTTGGACTATCCGTCGGCACTGGAGGTGGAAGTCGGGAAGGAGAAGCCGCGGGCGAGGTTGAAAGATCCACTAAGTTTCTGGGTGGAGTAGCACGGGGAGCTGAGAGAGGAATTGAGGAGGAGGTCGTTGGAGTTCCAGTCGAGCGCTGCGTCAGTCGGCACCTCATTTTTTTTGCACGGTCGGCCATGGCGTCGGTTGGAGCTTCGGTTTCCTCCGAACTAGTGGACTCGGAGTCGTCGAGACCTGTACAGACGAAGAGAATGGTTAGTCAGTCGGCCGAGAAGAAGAGCAAGGGGAAAAGGTTCAGTAGCCGCCCCAGTAGGCAGAAGAACCCATTTCGCCATGGCCCGCGAACCCATTTTGACGGAATAGGGACCCATGCTCTTCAAAAACTTGGCACCTCGGGTCGCGTCCAGGATAAAGACAGCTCGCCGGGAGCAAGGCTTATAGAGAGCAGCCGGCCACATAGTCGGAAAAGTAAAAGGGGAATAGGAAGGGCGAACGAAGAAGAAGTAGGGTTTCCAGTCCTTTACAGAATCAGGAAGACCCTTGAATAGAAGACGCCCGGGTCGGGCGGAAACTTGGACAAAACCCGGGGAATGAGAGCCGACCTTGTTCACAGTGAACAAACATCGAAAGAGTTTAATGTCGTGCTCATAAAGCCACCAACGACAAAGAACGATGAAGCAAACAAGAAGGCGATGGGAATTGGGTACGAGCTGACCCGGGACAAGGTTTTAATAGCGGAAGAAAAGGGATAGAAACGGATGAGGTGGTACTCGAAAGCCAAAAGCCACCGAGTGCAAATGGACGCCTATATAACCCTCCTGCGGGTCAAAAATGGACCGGCTTTCCGGCAGAAGGACGAC